ACATATATAAATTTGATGTGTATTGTGGAATTGGAAAAACGACAGTGGAAACCGTGATGGGGTTGATGGCGCCCCTAGTCAACAAGGGTTATCATTTGTATATGGATAACTACTATAACTCGGTAAGCCTAACAGAACAATTACGTGAAGTGGGTAAAAAAAAAAGAGTAAAGTAAAAAAAGTAAAGAGTAAAGTATGAGTAAAAAAAAAAAACACAAAGTATGTTTGGGGGTGTGGCGGGTGTGGCGGGCATGTGGCAGTGGGTTCCCTTTAGCCGTTGATATATCCAACACGTGGGAAATATTTGTATGTGTTATGTATATGTCTGTGTAGGGAATTTTACTGCGATCACTGTCATACAAATTATAAAATGTTTCAACAAGTATAAACATGACAAACATCAAACGAACGAAAACAATGCATTCGTTTCTACCGCGAACGCATACTGAGCGACGTGGTTCTATATTTGGCGCTTCTCTTACACATGCTTTGTACAATTGTTATACATTTCATCTTATAGAAAATTTTATTGCGAACACATTGGTATAAAAAAGAAATACGTACATAGAAAAGTAGGGTCAGGAAACGTATAAATGTATAAACTTTCCAAGCATGATTTCCCCCCTGTGTTTTCGCCAGTGCGCTCGCGGCTAACTACTCTCCACTTCACACACTCTTGCGGGTGGGCAATTACCTATATTAAACATTCATATGCATATGTCCGTGTAGAGAATTTTATTGCGATTCCAATGATACCAAAATTAGCGATGTAGGACAACTGTAGGCTTCGCAACCATTAAGAGAGTGGAAACATTTTGTTGCTGTTTGGCACTCTTGGCGAGTGATCTGCATAGTTTTTTATTTGGTGTTGATACTCCTTACGCTTGGGCGGCATTTTATAGGTATGCTCTTATAGACAATTTCATTGTGAACACAGTAATACCAAATTTAAATACGTGCGCCTTCAATTATTGTCAGGACAGTCAAAAGAGTGTACACTTTTTCGGTCTTACCGCGTAGGCGCGCGAAGTGCCGAAAGCATCTGGGGTATTGTTTTTTTTTGAGCGCCGAGAGTGCGAAAGTGTTAATAAGATTTTTGACTGGGCAACAGAAAATAACATGATGTTTAACAGTGATAAATTCCAGGTACTCAGGTATGGTAAAAATGAGGACCTTAAACATAATACAGGGTACAAAACATAATCAAATGTGCCCATAGTAGGAAAGCAACATGTAACGGATTTGGGAATAATGATGTCTGACGACCTAATGTTTAGGGAGCATAACCAAGCAAATATTGATTCAGCCAGAAAAATGATCAGATGGATTACAAGAACTTTCAAATCCAGGGATCCCTTCACAATGGTTGTACTATACAAATCACTTGTACTGTCCCATCTTGAGTACTGCTCAGTACTCATTTCCCCCCCCCCCTTCAGAGGGGGGAAAGATTGCTGAAATAGAGGGAATACAGAGAACATATACGGCATACATAGACACAATAAAGCACCTAGATTATTGGGATCGTCTCAAAGCTCTCGAAATGTACTCACTAGAAAGAAGACGAGAGAGGTATCAAATAATATGCAATCCTGGAGGGCCAAGTACCAAATCTACACAGTAAAATAACAATATAAAGTACTGAAGTGAACGATATAGAAGAAAATGCAGAATAGAATCAGTGAAGAGCAGGGGTACCATAGGCACAATCAGAGAACATTTTATAAACATCAGAGGTCCACGGTTGTTCAACATCCTCCCAGCGAGCATAAGAAATATTGCCAGAACAACTGTGGACATCTTCAAGATAAAACTAGCTCATTTTCTCCAAGTAGTGCCAGACCAACCGGGCTGTGGTGGATATGTGGGCCTGTGGACCGCTGCAAGCAACAGCCTGGTGGACCAAACTCTCACAAATCAAGCCTGGCCTCGGGCCGGGCATAGGGAGTAGAAGAACTCCCAGAACCCCATCAACCAGGAATCAACCAACCAGGTAAGGAGGCATGGGAATAGAGCTATAGCCCAGAGGAAGGGGAATCCTCCTCAAAGCATGCGATACAGCTGCCAACTTGTGCACTATCCTATGTGCCCAAAGGAACAGACCCGACTACTGACCCTGGGCAGCCTGGTGTTCCATGGTCATGAAACCCCCACCACAGAGTTGAGGTGGCCATAATTACATCACGTGACAGGTGAGGATGGTGTGACGGAACCACTGTATACTCTGATAACCCTAAAAGGGGAAGTCGGCAAAGCAAGAGCCAATGAAGGGCAAGATGTGTCTGAACTCACTAGTCTCAGGAGAGGCAGAATAGGGTCTTTCCAGAGAAACCTGAGCATGAGAAAGATGAGACAGGCAAAGGTCAGGCTCTGAACAACTGCTCAACCACCTGAGACAGGTGGAGGGGTGACAGGGAGACTTCTGACATGGATGAAAAATGTTCTAACTGACTAATAGATGAGGGCAGTAATCAGAGACAATGTATCTGACTGGAGGAGTGTTGCTAGCGCAGTACCACAGGGTTCAATTCTTGCACCAGTAATGTTCGTCTACATAAACAATCTACCAGAAGGAATACAGAATTACGTATATGAACATGTTTGCATATTTTTTTTATATTCACAAATTGAGATTTAACCACAGCAGAAATGCTATGCATATCCAAGGTCCCAAATTATGGAATAACTCTCAAATGTCTCCTAACCATTTACAAAAAACAAAAAAAAATCTAACATTGTGTAATAAACTTCTAATTTTATTTACTAAAAATGTATGCCTTTCATCATTATTTGTCATCTAATTCATATATTTATTTTGAATAAATTGTTATTCAGGTCATATTTTACCTTACTCTTGTTTATTATTAAGTATTTACCCCATTAAGCCTTTGAATTTTACCAACTTTATTCTGCGGTATGTTAAGTTCGTTACTTTTTTTTAAATTCCCCTTTGTTTATCCTTGCTGATATTAATAATGTTAACCATGTTACTTAATGATGGTTTTCCATCTTGCTTAACTTAAATGATAACAAATTTACAAAAATTAATAAATTCAATAGAAAGTTCATTAAAGACCTTTGTGCTAAATGTCAAGGGTGTCTAGTTTTTTGTTTAAAGTGTACGTTTTGTGCGTGCCCACCACCTGTGAGATGTAAGCTACACTTTTATATATGCTCTGTGCAAGTCTTAGCATTAATGCTATTGACTTAAGCCATGTACTTTAAAATAATGTTTAATTTAAAGAATGATAAAAGTTTAATTAACAATTAATTTTGAAATTGTATATTACAGTTGCACTAATAGAACTTTATATTATTTTGAAGTAAATAGACTCTAGAATTGGAAATATAAGTACACTACAATAATAGGTATTGTATATTTGTATAAAAACATAAGAACAAAGTTAACTGCAGGCGGCCTATTGGACCATACGAGGCAGCTCCTATTTATAACCACCCAATCCCACTCATATACATGTCTAACCCACGCTTGAAACAATCAAGGGATCCTACCTTCACCACGTTATGCGGTACATAATTGGTTCCACAAATCAACAATCCTGTTACCGTACCAGTATTTACCCAAGTCTTTCTTAAATCTAAACTTATCCAATTTATACCCATTGTTTCGTGTTCTGTCTTGTGTTGATACTTTTAATACCCTATTAATATCCTCTTCGTTATCCCCGTTCATCCACTTGAAAATCTTTATCCTGTCACCCCTAACTCTTCGCCTTTCCAGTGAATGCAATTTAAGCTTTGTTAATCTTTCTTCATATTAAAGATTTCTAATTTGGGGAATTAGCTTAGTCATCCTATGCTGGACACGTTCAAGTGAATTTATATCCATTCTATAGTACGGCGACCAAAACTGAACTGCATAATCTAAATGGCGCCTAACCAGAGCAAGATATAGCTGAAGAATAACACCAGGTGTTTTGTTATTAACGCTTCGATTAATAAATCCCAGTGTCCTATTTGCCTTATTACGAACATTCATGCATTGATCTTTTGGTTTTAAATTCTTACTAATCATAACTCCCAGATCCCTTTCACAATCCGACTTCGCAATCTCAACACCATCTAGCTCGCATTTTGTAGCTCTATTATCATTACCTAGCCTCAAAACTTTACATTTATCAGCATTAAACTGCATCTGCCAATCTTCTGACTATTTCAAAACCTTAGATAGACTTGAAGTGACAGCAAGTCTTCTTCCGTGTTTATTTCCCTACCGATTTTTGCATCATCGGCAAATTTGCAAATGTTGCTACTCAAACCTGAATCTAAATCATTAATATGTATTATAAACAATAGAAGTCCCAGGACAGAGCCTTGAGGCACTCCATTTACAACTTTTTCCAACTCTGACTTAACTCCATTTATACTAACTAACTGTTTATATCATTTATACTAACTCTGTTTCCTTTGGTATAGCCATGCCCTAATCCAACTTAATATAGCACCCCCAACACCATGAGCCTCTATCTTTTTAATCATCTTATAAAATGCATGCCTGAATAGCATGAGTGAAGGAGAGCCCAAGTGATGGATTACCTTACTGGGGTGAGTAGCCCAGTACTCACTCAGACAAGCATAGGTTATCAAGTGTTTATTTCTTATTTATTACTGTAAACCTACAAAGAAAATTGAGCCCCTCCACAGTCAATAATGTACCAAGACATTACATTATCAGTATATTTTATTTCAATTAATTACTGTCTCAGGTACAAGATTAAATATTAAAACTTCCAAAGCTTCATATAAAATACTAATTGATAACATAGGCCTTTAGGTCGGCTGCCTCATTCCTTGTAAGGTCATCTTGGTCTCAAGCTTCAGGAAATTGCTGATAATTATATATGAACCCAAATCTTTCACCAGTACTTCTTTCTCGTGACTGATAATAAACATTTAACTTCAGCCTTCATGCTTAGTAAAACACACAAGACGTAGTTACTTTTAGTATCTTGTAGGCAACAAATTGCATCTACACTCACCGATTGTGAACCACTTGCCTCATCTGCACAGACGTCTCAATGTTTTGCTTTGCATCGTAACAGAAATAAACATTTGCTAGTGGTATATTTTACCTACATTTCCCCTTTAAATAACAGAAAACGATCGTATCGTGACTACGTGCTTTAGGATCATATTATCCTATTGTTTATGAATGCAGACTAAGGAATCGGATCCTTGTATGTGGCAGCGTGTTGTATCGCTTATGTTCTCCCGAGTGAGAGAAAACGGAGGCACTCGTGTCAACAAACCTTGGTGCAGGCGGCGTGACCCTCGCACTAAGTACTGTTAGGCCGCAATTCGCACTCATCTCATCTTTATTATTATTATACCGTACAACTGACCTCTAGTCCACCATTTTTATAAGACGAATAACATAAGCTTTAAAGTATTTTTCTTGCCGTATTACGTCTGTTTTACGGTGAGCCAAAGTTCATTATAACGGAATGTTTCCACTTATAAGTTTTACTTGTCATTCTGTACCTAGCATTTTGGTAACTAAACAGAAAACAATTATTTTTTACCATTTTAATCGTTGTTTAGTAAGTCTTGAATCGCGCAGTTGCCAGCATAATTAATTCACAACCGAAAGGGTCCTCCCGCGCAGGACGGAGACGTTTGGGCACCTTTCCGTACATACCCTGGGCAGGGAGTTAGGCATTTCTTGTGGGTTAATCGTTAGCCTAGAGATACAAGTCTGGTCTTCTATAGCCTGCACTAGCAAAGTCTAGATAAAACACAAGACTATCTTGCAAATATTCGTGAGTGAATGAGTAGTTACAGCGATCAAAGTATCTCATACTACAGTATTTACTTTAAATTTAATTGATAACTGGGAATTCACAAATATCGTGTTGGAGAGTATGTCCCAGCTCTTGCTCATATAGTTTACAAATGGAATGTTCACCATAGGAAGATTCATTACCTGCAGCCACCTACCATAAAATAGCAACAAGAGCTCAGAAGAAAACTACTGTCCGATCAGCTTGACATCACAAATCTGCAAGCCCATGGAGAGAATCCTAAGGAAGGGAATCATTCACCACCTCACAGCAAACAATCTTGTAAAATCAACGCAACATGGGTTTATTAAAAACAGATCCTGCCTTACAAACCTGCTCACATTTTTTGTAAACTGTAACAAGCTACTCAGACAAAGGACTTCCGGTAATATAGATGTAGTACACACGGACTTTACTAAAGCTCATGATGAGGTACTATTTAAAAGACTATCAAGGAAATTACAGGCACATGCAATAAATAGTAGAATACTAGAATGAATAAAACAATGGTTAAAACAAAGAAAACAAAGGGTCATATGATAAGGTGGGTGGGGGCGAGTAACAGCAGCGGGTGACGGTGGGTGGGCGGCCAGTAACAGCAGCGGGTGACGGTGGGTGGGCGGCCAGTAACAGCAGCGGGTGACGGTGGGTGGGCGGCCAGTAACAGCAGCGGGTGACGGTGGGTGGGCGGCCAGTAACAGCAGCGGGTGACGGTGGGTGGGCGGCCAGTAACAGCAGCGGGTGACGGTGGGTGAATAAAACGATAGTTAAAACAAAGAAAATGAGTGGAAACATTTCGTAATGTTTTGTTCGTAAATTTCGTATCGTATCGTAAATCCATAGGGTTGTAAACCTGTGGAACCGCCTACCCGCCGAAACCATTAACGCCAAAACTCTGCTGGGTTTTACATACAGCTTTAAATACAGCTGGAAAAGATCATCAGGGCAAATGGGGGACCTTTGACAAGCCTCCATCTTCCTGTCCTTATCGAGGCTACTAGTATTATTGGACCTCAGGTAAATTCAGATAAAAATAAGCGGAAATGAATCTGACTGGAGAAATGTGGTGAAAGGGGTGCCACCAATAAGGTCCATAAACTTTGTAGATCTGATGCAAAGTGAAATTGACACCAGCAATCTAATCTGTCATCATACTATCATGCAAGAAGAGCCACACATATAACGTGTACATATTTGATTTTTTTAAACAAGACTTCTTACATTCTTGTACAGCCACTAGCACTCATAAGCGTTTCGGGCAAGTCCTTAATCTTATGTTCCTGGGAGTACGACCTGCCAAATCGTCTGAACAACCAGGTACCTATTTTACTGTTGGGTAAACAGAGGCTACAGTTAAGGATTGACGCTCAATAAATCCTCCCCGACCAGGAAACGAACCCAGGACAAAGCGCTCGCGAAACGCCAGGTGAGTGACTTACCACTACTCCACGGGGATTTATTTACTTATTTATTTCGGTGAAAACGACAGAAAGTTTTAAATTTATGATTCTGGCACGAATCTTCTCGGTATTCCTTTTGTTTTTCTTAACTGAAGCAGGAAGTTGAAAAATTAACTATCCAAAGTTCATTTTTACTTTTTATTTGGGTCTAACGCCTAGTAATGCATTTCGTAAGGTCTTTCCTCACATTCTCAAAGACAAATTCTACTGTGCTTAGCATCTGGTTATATCCTCTTATGGTGAGGTGGTTAGGTAACATATATAAAATAAATAAATAAATAAATAAATGTTTATTTAGGTAAGGTACATACATACAAGAGATTTTACAAAGATTGATGGAATTATAGATAGAGCTAGTACATACAATGCCTAAAGCCACTATTACGCAAAGCGTTTCGGGCATGAAAAACATTTATGACTAAATCTTAATACTAATTGAGTATAAAGAATAAAATGTGTTGAGAACAAATAAAAAAAAGAGATAAAAAAGGTGGGAACATGGCTGAAAAAGCAGCACAAATACAATTAGGTCGACAAACAGCGTTGTTTAAAAAAACCAGACATGGATTGACAATAGAGGGGTAAGATAGGTTACAGGGAATTTATTAGGTAGTGCTTCGTTTTTATCTTAAACTGGTTGAGAGAGGTACAGTCTTTAACATGGTTGGGAAGGTCATTCCATATTCTGGGTCCCTTGATTTGTAGAGCATTTCTAGTTTGGTTAAGTCGTACTCTTGGAATATCAAAACTGTATTTATTTCTGGTGTGGTGCTCATGGGTTCTGTTACAACCTTCAATGAAGCTTTTGAGGTCAGGATTGGCATTACAGTTCAGCGTTTTATATATGTATAATACACATGAGAGAATGTGCAGTGACTTAATATCTAACTTATTCAGAGATTTGAGTAGGGGTACCGAGTGATGTCTGGGGCCAGAGTGGGATATTGTCCTAATAGCAGCTTTGTGTTGAGTAATTAGAGGACGTAAATGATTTTGGGTAGTAGAACCCCAAGCACAAATACCATAGTTGAGATAAGGATAGATGAGGGAGTAATAGAGAGTCACCAGGGCAGGGCGGGGTACATAATATCTGATCTAAGAAAGAATGCCAACAGTTTTTGAAACTTTTTTTGATATATTTAGAATGTGTCCCTGGAAATTCAGCTTGTGGTAAATGAGAACGCCAAGGAATTTGCCATCTAATTTGTTACAAATTTGGGTATTGTTTATTTTGAGATTTATTTGATTAGAGGATTTATTGCCAAACAGAATATAGAAAGTTTTCTCAATGTTAAGGGTGAGTTTGTTGGCAGTTAGCCACAGATGGACTTTATTTAGCTCAGTATTTACTGTGGCTTTTGGAGCAAGGGGGTCAGGACTGGAGTAAATGAAGGTTGTGTCGTCAGCAAATAGAATTGGATTGAGGTGTTGAGAGGCATTTGGAAGGTCATTAATGTAGATGAGAAAGAGGAGAGGGCCAAGTATGCTGCCCTGAGGAACACCAATGTTGATGGGTAGGGTGGGAGAAATTGAATTATTCACAGAAACATACTGGAGCCTGTCAGTAAGGTAAGATTTGAGGTATTGCAGGGAGTGTTCTCTGACTCCATAATGATGTAATTTAAGAAGAAGGTTTTGGTGGTTGACAGTGTCAAAAGCCTTACGCAGGTCCACAAATAACCCAACAGGGAACTCATTTTTATCAAGAGCTGAATGAATCAAGTTAATCATACTAATAAGTGCATCGTTAGTGCTTTTTTTGGGTCTGAAGCCATATTGACAAGAGCTAAGTATATTGTGTTTGGCTAGATAAGAGTAAAGCTGCTTGTAGATTAGTTTTTCAAATATTTTTGACAAGTTAGGCAGGATTGATATGGGTCTGTAGTTGTTAACATCTGTGAGATCACCACATTTGTATATAGATGAATGACATTACATGGGGGAGGGGATATTACAAAAATGAGTTTCCGATTGGACTCTTCATTGACCTAAGAAAAGCCTTTGATACTGTTAATCACAACTACCTCTTACTTAAACTCCAGCATTATGGAATCCGAGGCCTTGCCCTTGACTACATCCGATCCTATCTTAGTGACAGACACCAATATGTAACCATCAATGATACAACTTCTTCCACTCTACCAATTACCGTTGGAGTGCCACAGGGCAGCATCTTAGGACCTCTTCTATTTCTTATATATATAAACGATCTGCCTAATGTCTCTAATATTCTCAAACCTATATTGTTTGCTGACGATACTACCCTTATCTACTCAAACCTCAACCCACATACACTAAATAATGTTGTGAATAATGAATTAAAAAAGTCCACTTATGGATGTCAACGAACAAACTAACATTAAACATCGAAAAGACTTACTACATCTTATTTGGAAGCAAATCATCAAATGCAATTCAGCTACAGATAGACAACATTAACATCAGTAATAAAAATGATGGCAAGTTTCTTGGCCTATTCCTAGACAAGAGACTCAACTTCAGCACCCACATTCAACACATAACTAAGAAAGTCTCTAAGACAGTTGGTATACTCTCCAAAATCAGATATTATGTTCCTAACTCTGCTCTCCTCTCACTATATTATGCACTAATCTACCCCTATCTTAATTATGGTATCTGTGCATGGGGGTCTACCACTGCAAACCACCTTAAGCCCATCATCACACAGCAAAAATCTGCTATCAGAATAATAACTAACTCTGCTTTCAGACAACACTCAGCTCCCTTGTTTAAATCCCTAAACTTGCTAAATATTAACTCCCTCCACACATTCTCTTGTGTCAACTACA